AAATTACAGCAAATACATGCCCCCTGCATTTTTCCTCTAGGAAATATTAACATTGACATACAAGGGGGAGGGTGACCATGCAGAAGCAAATATATAGTCTTGGAGGGTAGAAAAGGTCTAAACATTTTTTTTTATCTTTTCAAGTCTAAATAGGGTGAAAATATCAAGTCTATTAATTTAGAAGGGTCTATTTTCTTTTTCTTTTAAATACAAAAAGCCCACCATAATTTCCCTTTGGTCTTCCTGTTTATAGAACACAGTGCCTGGTTGGGAGATGTGCTAGCTGGTCATTCCAGCTCAGACTGCCTTGGCAGATGAGCACCACGCAAGTGCCAGGAGACTTGAGGACAGGAAGTCAGGAGGACAGATGGAGCGCCACGCAAGTCCTATACTTCAGAGTCGCAATGGTTAACCAAATATTCGAGTAATCTATTTGCTGAGAGCATTTTGGCTTTGGCCTCCTGTGGCCTTCCTTATTCGTGTGAATAAACGTACTCCCAGAACAGGATAAAGGGGAAAGATGTGATAATATAGCAACTAAATCTTGAGATTCACTAGAGTTAAAAAGAAAACTTTCATAAGAAACACAAGTGAAGATTACAGGTCTTCCTCCTGAGGGTATTGCCTTGACGTGTAGGAAAAGGGATTATCTGAAATAGGCAACTTAACACGTGTGTTCATTTCATTCCAGACTCTCTCCTCTTCATATCTTAACCCTGAACTACAGCTGCACTAGTGAAGATAATAATCTAACTTGGCCATTGTTTCAAAAAAAATAAAGTGAGTTTATCATGTTTCTTTGCCACACACAGTTGTGGATCTGGTATTTATTTATTTTATTTTTTGCAGCATTTTCTTCTTTCCTTCTCCTCCCTCCAACCCCTCCCAGGTATCCTTCTCTCAAACCATGGCCTCTGGCCTCCTTTTAATTATCTATATAGATAATGTACATTATATAATTTATATAAATTAGCAATGTGTTATATAATAATATGCTGTGTTGTATGACATATACAGCATATAATATAGATATATGAATGGACTGTCCCAGTCTGTATAGTATTGTCTTATCTTTAAGTAAGGTAACCACCTATTTATTTCAATGTCCTAATAGGAAAAGATTCTTAAAAGTGAAACTGTGTTTGTGAGCTCTCTCAAGGATCGCTTGTCCTTGTCAAAATGTTTATCTTATGAGACATTTTCTAGAAGGAAGAAAGTGGGTAGCGAGGGAGAGGAAGGGAAGGAAGGAAGGAAGAAAGGCAAGTCAGCTCACAGTGGAGAAAGCTCTCCCTCCTTTGGGAAACACAGCAGAGGTAGCAGCAGATTTGGCCATCGGAGAACAAAGGGCCAAACAGTGAACCTGAGATGGTGAAATAAAATGTAACGTCAACAAAGAGAGGGTCATAGATAAATAGTAAAAGAACCAACTTGCCACAAAAAACCCATTGACATTTTCCCAGAGTCCAGGCAAAGTGCCGGTGACCCGTTAATGCTGGAATGTTTTCCTAGGGTTAAAAGGGGAGCATGCAGCATGTCTGTTCAGAATTTACAAAGTGTTTGAATAACATGGACCGTGTTTTGATAACACATTTTTAGTGGGGGTGAAAATAATAGAATTTATTGGGGCATTTATATGGGCCCCCTTAGTTGTGTGGGGGCGGGGGAGTGGATGGGCTCTAACCACATGTCACTGCACTAATCTATAATTCTCCTTTGAAATTTACGTGTGTGTGTGTGTGTGTGTGTGTGTGTGTGTGTGTGTGTGTGTGATGCAAGATACTGCTGTGGTTCCACGGCTTCTTAGTTTTACTTTTAAAAATCTCAAGCACTGTTATTTGTTACCTCTAAGGAGAAGGAAAGACAAGAGGGCACAGGCCACATTGCTGTTGTCACCACGAGCGAGCTGGCATTGTAAAGTTGGTGTTGTTTGGGACAAACTAGTATGAGGTCTTTCATATACTCACACCCAGGGTTGCCTCGGCTTCCTTCAGCCTCTAGAGGCTGCTGCTTGCTCCATCTCAGGCTGCAGAGAGGCATTCGAGTGAACCCAACCACCTCTGGAGTCTAGTATTGCAGGGGTCTCCTCCCCAGTGTTGATGTTTTTGTTCAATGTATCACTGTCAGTTAAGCCACGGAAAACCAGGCACCTTTCAATAAATGTCTCATTTGGATTTCATGAAGCTCGGGGTGTAATTGAAATCAAACAGCAAACAGAGTGGAAGGTTCTGCTGTTTGCCCACCCAGTTGGAGCAAGGTGCTGCCTGATGTGTGCCCGACACCCAACATCACTGCCTTTGCCTTGTTTTCTCTGCCTCTTTCTGGAAAAGAGGACTTGGACTTTAAAGTGTGGCTGAGACACAAGACAACATTGATTTTCCCTCCCTCTATTTATGAGTATTACTGAACCAACACACACACACAAAGCCCATTCCAAGTAGGAATCATAGATTTGTTCTCCATGATGCTCCAGCACTTTAGACCAATGTAGCCCATAAGTAATAATAATAATACAATATAAGTTCATCAACACAGAAATATTTATTTTTTTTTACTTTATGAAGCCAGAAAAATATTTTTAGTGGAAATGGTGCTTTTCACCATTTTAAAGGGGGGAATCATTAGATGATTTCGAGTCACAATAATAATATATAACAACAATAATAATATTAGTAAGTTCCCCATGCCCCCAAATCCCGGCTTCCAAAGTGTTTCCTAGCGCTCTTATTTTGACTTTTGAGGGATTTCTCTTTATTTCTCCGTCTGTAAAATGTGTCAAAAATAAGATGAAAGAGTATATTACTGAGGGTGGGGCCCCCAGGAGTCCGTGAGAATTCTGAATCCTAGTTCCACAGACTGAATTGCACGGAGTTGATAATTTGGTGGCACTCGGGATGAACCTACACGCTTTCGTGAGCTTGCTCTAGGGGTAGGATAGAATGAACCCGGTTCTGATGTGGTTGTAGGGACAGCTGGTCTGAGTTACTTGCGCCAGAGTGGGTCTGAACGGTGCCCGTTGCCTGTGGTGGCACTGTGCCACGCTAGCGTTTCCCTGGTCTCTTCAAAGCATTTTGAAGGGACCCCGAAGCCTGCTTCTGGCTGTGTTAAAGCGCAAAACTGACATACACCTTCAGTCACCCCATCTGCAGATAGCGTGAGATTCAGTCTCACACCTGCTTTCCCCTCAGACGTCCTGCAGCTCAGGTCAAGGCTAACACGAACTTAAAAATCGTCATTCGAAAACTCAGGGCTGAGCCGCCAGCGCTGAGGCCCTTTCCTGGAGCTCGCATCCCCCTTGTGGAATCCCCACATTGAATATCTCGCACTCTTTGAAGGGAATAAAAATAAACCACCAAGATTTCTCTGGATTAAAACAAAACAAAAACAGTAAAGTGACCGGATCACTCGGGCTCCTATGCTAGAGCCGAACTGGGACCAAATTCTGGGATCTCAGGGGCTGGGCGCGCAGGGTGCCAGCTCCTGGGCTCTCTGAGCCAAAATTGACAAGGCTATCGCTCCTACTCGCTAGCCTCTGACTTGGCGCTGAACACCTTCGCGAACACCCAAGATTCGCAAGACCATCACATCAAAACTCCACACAGCATTTGAGAGCGTGAAGGATCTCTCCACTCTCTAACACGGGCGTGCGGATATTCGTGCTGTGCGGGGTTTGGAACCAGGTTGGAAAGCTTCGCGTAGTTCCTACTGCTGGGATCTGGGCGCTTAGCAGATCCCGCGGCCATTTCATCTGTTCTAGGCAAAAAGTTTCCCGTGTGATCGTGTTCGGTTGGGGGAAGCAGAGTCACCGCATCTCGACCGGAAAATGCGCTCCTGGAGCGATTACTGCAGGCGTCCGTAATTGCTTATTAAAGGAGAATGTTCGGTTTTCTTATATCTACAACGAAACGTGTCCCCTCTTCTGCAATAATAAAACAATAAAATATGACGGCACCGTCCTTGACTGTTTGCGGAAACGCAGGGGGGGGGGAACAGGCAGCTGGGCAAAGGAGCTTAATTCAATATCAAACTGATTATTTCACTAATTATTCTGCCTTCGGTATTGTGCCGCAGAGGAGAGGCGCAGGGAATCTTAACTGCACAGCTGCTAGGGAACCTTTGTGTCGTGGTGTCAGTCCCCACCAAGATGTTGGCGAAAGTGGGGCTTGGGGGAGGTAGAAATCATACAGAGTTCAGGAAAACCGAGCAGTGTGGATTTTTTAAATTGCAAACGATGAAAATGATGGCCCCGGAAAGCCGGTTTGTTAGCGTGGATGTGAGGGTAAACGCTTGATTCGCTCGGTCTGACTCTTGTTGGGTCTTCAGTAGCCCACAGCACTCGGCCTTCTGATTAAGACACGGCTATCTTTCGTCATTCCAGGAATCCCAAACGCCGAGCGCAAGGTTTCTCGCCACTAACCCTTTAGGTAAAAAGATGGGCCATAACAAAAAGCGGTTCCTGTGTGTGGATGGCCAGGAAGTCAGAGGGAAGGTGCGCTTTGATGTTACAGCGTCTGACGCACACACTTTGGGTCGCCTTCCAACCCGCCCCCAGATTTGCACCCTCGGGAACCTGTGCCTTCCGGCGAGCAGGGAGCGTTCAGAGACCTCTGCTCGGGCCTCTAGGACCTGCCTTTGCCAAACTAGCCCCGAGCGCAGGAATGACCCTTAAGCCTAGGGTTAGACCAGGTACGCAGACTTCAAACCATAAACTCCAGCGCCTTATAGACACCGGGATTGATTCTCACAGTGGGTTATAAGTCCCCCAAGGAAACTTAAAAGCACCAAACCAACAACAACAGCCAAACAAACAGGCGGGGAGGAAAAGAAACTTGCAGGCAACTCGATCCAATTAATAAATGCTTAATTGAATTAGTGTCACCTCTGTCAGCCAATAGCAAAGTCCCCTAGCCGTGGGGCTGCGAAGCCCCTCCCTGGCAGCACGCATATAAGCAGCCAGCGACAGCTCGTAAGTTTCCAAGCAGTCAAGTAGGCCTAGGGTTTAGCACTGCGGTGCCAACAGAGAGAAGCGGGCTGGTTGCTAAATGGGAACTCAGAGCTGAGTCGTCTTCCCTAGTGTGAGTGTAGGGGGTCCTGGAAGCTAGACAAGGAAAGACGGAAGGAAACGCTGCTTGCTCAGTTTCCATCACCCACCTACAAGCTGGGGTTTGTTCCCTTGCAGAAAGGACGCTGGATTCGGGGCGCGCGCTGAAGCCGCCCCGCAGGTCCCCAGGTGGGTAGCCCGGGCGAGAGAGGAAGGGAACGTTACCTTCCCCTCGGAAGAGGGCGCTGGCTCCCCCCAGCCGGCCTTTATAACCAGGCCGCGGGAGGCGAGGAGGCAGCCGGCTGCCGTCTGCGAATCGCAAAAGCATGCAGTTAGGAGAGCAGCTCCTGGTGAGCTCCGTGAACCTGCCGGGCGCGCACTTCTACTCGCTGGACAGTGCGCGAGGTGGCGGAGGAGGCGGAGGAGGGGGAGGTGGCGGGAACGTCAGCCTCCTCCCCGGTGCTGCTCCCTCGCCCCAGAGACTGGACTTAGACAAAGCGTCCAAGAAGTTTCCGGGCAATCTCCCGTGCCAGGCGGGTAGCGCAGAACCCACAGGCGCCGGCGCGGGGGCCCCCGCGGCCATGCTCAGTGACGCAGACGCCGGGGACACCTTTGGCAACGCCTCGGCTGTGGCCAAGCCCGGTCCCCCGGACGGCCGCAAGGGTTCCCCGTGCGCCGAGGAGGAGCTGCCCTCCGCCGCCAGCGCTGCGGCCAGCGCGCGCTACTCCATGGACAGCCTGAGCTCCGAGCGCTACTACCTCCCGTCGCCGGGACCGCAAGGCTCCGAGCTCGCCGCGCCCTGCTCGCTCTTCCAGTACCAGGCGGCGGCCGGAGCAGCCCACGGATCCGTGTACCCCGCGTCCAATGGCGCGCGCTACCCCTACGGCTCCATGCTGCCCCCCGGTGGATTCCCCGCCTCCGTGTGCCCGCCCGCGAGGGCGCCGTACGGCCCCGCCGCGGGCTCGGGGACCGGTGCCAGTGGCAGCGGCGGCGGGGCTGGCGGTCCTGGCGCCTATCCCTACGGCCAGGGCTCTCCTCTCTACGGGCCGTACGCCGGAGCCGCAGCGGCCGGATCTTGCGGAGGATTGGGAGGCCTCGGGGTGCCCGGTTCCGGCTTCCGCGCCCACGTCTACCTGTGCAACCGGCCCCTATGGCTCAAATTCCATCGTCACCAAACTGAGATGATCATCACCAAACAGGGCAGGTGAGCACAGTGCCGGGTTGAGGAAATTGTGTCCGCTCTTTGCGTCCTATGCTTGGAGTGTTTAAATGCACGCCATACAGGGGACACTGCATCTACAAAGTCGCGCCCCATTCCATTCGCACGCACACCTGTGGCTTGGGCCGGCTGCCAAAGTTACTCTCCCCTCTAGTCACCCTCCCTGGGATTGACAGGGAGGAGGCAGAGATGGAAATGGATGGAATGGACCCTTGAAGGTGGATCTTCAGGAGCCACTGGCTCCTGGGTTTGCAGCTTGCAGTTTACAGCTTGCAGGCGAGGACACGGGGAGGGTGGGGGAGGTTGGAGCTGAGGTGCGGCCTGAGCACAAGTATTTGAAATGCAGTTGTTTCAAGCTCCATGCTCTTTGTTGGGCGCTTCTATGAGAAGAGCAAAAGAAAGAAGTTGAGTTTGAGCTGGTGGGTGGGTAGATTTTTTTTGACGCCAGATGATGGGGGATTTGCGGGGAACCTACAAGAAAATTCTGGTACACCTTCAAACTGCCAACAGCTACTTTTGGAGGAACGGGGGAGTGGGTGCTGGGAGACAGGAACTCAAAACTCTGTGTGTGTGTGTGTGTGTGTGTGTGTGTGAGTGTGTGCGCGCACGTGCATGTAAGTGGGCACGCGCCTGCTTAATGTTTTGTGTTACCTGTGTCCTTAAAAATAATTTTTCATATCCCAGTAAGAAAACGAGTAAGATTCTGAAAGACCAGGGAGTTTGAGTGGATGGAGGTCTCAGAAGCATATGAATTAAGGGAAATACTGATTTGGAGGCTGTTTTCAAAAATTGTTAATTCAAAACCGTTTTCGTAGTTTCCGGCCATAGCACCTATTCGTTGTTGTTGTTTTGTTTACTGCAGTCTTCTATTGTGTGTCCAGGGGTGGCAGGGCGTGTCATGAGCGTTCCTACTGAAACCATTTCCTCTGGTTCTGTTCTTGGCACACAGGCGCATGTTTCCTTTCTTGAGCTTCAACATAAACGGACTCAATCCCACCGCCCACTACAACGTGTTCGTGGAGGTGGTTCTGGCCGACCCTAACCACTGGCGCTTCCAAGGGGGCAAGTGGGTGACCTGTGGCAAAGCCGACAATAACATGCAGGGTGAGGAGAGAGGAGACCTGGGCCGGGAAGGAACCAGAGCCCCAGTCCTGGACCAGTCACTTTTCAATAACCAAGCACCTCACCCCGAGCCTGGGACCTGGGGATGTTAGCATGAGTCGCCTTGTGTTGAAGAGAAATTTGCTCCGTCGTTTTTCTTGCTTCCTTTTATATATCAAACCTTCACCTTGACCCTACCGGGCTGTGTTTGAGAAATAAATAGTCCAATGAGGTTCTGAGTTTGGGGGAAAGCTCCTGGTGTTTTCCTATTCTCTTGAGAAAGCTGGGGCCTCCTCTAACTTAACCTATGAAAGTAAATATTCAATGAGCCACATCCCGTCCCGCTTTTGAAGGCCTTCGGATTAACATTCGGGAGCCGTCTCTGTTTTCAGTTTGGAGAGGCCGGTGATAGCAGTGCCTTGATTAAGAAAGGCTGGAAGCACCCTGGCCCTGGAGGGGGTGCCTGGAGTCCCGCTGTGATTCAGGGATTTCTGGAAGCAGGTCTCAGACCTGATGGAAAACCCAGGCCTAACAAACAGACCTCCACCCCAACCCCACACTCAACAGTCCTGTTTGTGTACGTGCTTATGTTTCCTTTCGATTTTCCTCTTAGGCAACAAAATGTACGTTCACCCGGAATCTCCTAACACTGGTTCCCACTGGATGAGGCAGGAGATTTCCTTTGGGAAGTTAAAACTCACTAATAACAAAGGAGCAAGCAGCAACAACACACAGGTAGAGACAGGAAGAGTGGGGATCTTCCGCCTGGGGCCCCTTGGAGAGAGAGCCATACTTTTGTTCCTGTGTTTAATTAAGTGTTTGCAGTTATGGCTCCAGCTCACTTTTAATAAATTCATTTACCTTTGTTACTATTATAGTTTCTTACTATTAGGCATAGAAATGTAATTTGGGGGGACTTGGAACCAAGAGGAAAGAGTGTTTATTAAATACACATAAACTCAGTTTTTGTTTCGAGTGGGTTTTTTTTGTTTGTTTCTTGTTTATTTTGGGGAGTGGGACCTGTATATGTAGCCCAGGCTAGCCTTGAACTACTGATCCTCCTACCTCCCAGGTCAGATGGTGGGATTATGAGTGTATCCCACCACTCCAGGTTCAGAATTGGAACTTGAAGTTGCAAAAGTGTTAATGCCAAGAATCTTAAAAATGATAACAAAAAACTCAGCTCTATTTCAAGAAGCGGTGAGGACCTTGCTATTCAATGCTGTTAAGAACACATCTTTTGAGGTTTTCCAGCATATAACACAAAAGGGGGGGGGGTCTGCTAATTTCCATAGTGGGCAAGCCAAAGTCCCATTTCACAATACACAATTTGTTAAAGTCTCTTTGGCTCCGTTTCCAGATGATAGTGCTGCAGTCTTTGCACAAATACCAACCACGACTGCACATTGTGGAAGTGACCGAGGATGGCGTAGAGGATCTGAATGAGCCTTCCAAGACCCAGACCTTCACCTTCTCAGAAACACAGTTCATCGCCGTGACCGCCTACCAAAACACTGACGTGAGTGTCCCAGGCTTGGCAGGAGCCTCTCAGGCTAGGTCTGTCCAGATAAAGCCCTCAGTTACTATCCTTCTCCTCTCTCTAGATTACGCAGCTAAAGATTGACCATAACCCCTTCGCCAAAGGCTTCCGGGACAACTATGATTCGTAAGTACTGCTCTCCCCTGTACTCACAAGGTCGTCTTTTAAAAGACTGTCTCCCGTCCCAGGCTGCCTGCAACTTGCTGAGAAGTAAAGATGAACTTGAACTTATGATGGTCTTGCCTCCATCTCCCTAGTGCTGAGCTCACAAGCATGGGCTGCCACACCCAGGCTTCGAGTGTGCTAGACAACCATTCTCTCAATTGAGCTTCATCTTCAAGCCCATTTCCTGCGTCATCTTTGAACAGGAAATGAGTCATCGTTTTCCTGAGGACATATTTAGTATGACATTTTATATATAGGATTTTTTTTTACCTATTTTCATGTTTTTTGCTGATGTACACAAACACACACACAGCACACACTGGGTATTAAACTCAGGTCTTTGTACATGCAAGGTAAGCATTCTACCATCGAGCTATATCCCCAGACCTATTTTTGCATATATTGGCCTTAAGCAATCTTGCTTTACTTATATGTGGCCATTTTTTTTAATTTGATCCAACTATTTTTTTTAAAACATTATTTCTAATGAAGTGTGTTTGTGTCTGTGTGTGAGTATGTACTCATGAATTGGGTGCCAGCAGGCCAGAGGTGTGAGATCCCATAGAGCTGGAGTTACAGGTGGTTGTCAGCCCCTTGACGTGTGTGCCTTCAACTCCTGCTCCAACTTTGAAAAGACTCCCTAGCAGATTTCCCCTTTCTCGTGTTCTATGTGGAAAAGTCTGGAAGGTCGCTGTTTTCACCACACTGAATAGCAAGGCCCTGCATTTGAAATAGCATTGAGTCGTGGGGTTGCCTCATGGCATCCTGTCCATCACATTGACAAGAGGGGGTGTACGACTGAGCACTTGTAAAAGTAGATTTCCTCATTTGTTTATTTGGCGGTAGAGGCTCATGTAGCTCAGGCTGGCCTCAAACTCAAACTGGCTGTGTAGCTTCCATGGCCTTTTACTTCTGACTTCCTGTGCTGGGACTGCAGGCCTGGCACCAGCCCTGGTGTGTGTAGATCTGGCCACGGAACCCAGGCCTTCCTGCTGGCAAGGCCAGCTCTCCACAAAAGGGTCTCTAGCCACAGCTCTGACCGCTAGGGGGGAAGTTCCTGTTAAGGAGTGGGAGATCTACTGTAGTCTCTTGTGGAACACACCAGCCCGCTCAGCCCATGCAGTTGAGAACAAGGCTCTAGTTTCTGGGAGATAGTTTGTTTGGGGCTAACACGGGTTGTTTTTTTTTTTTTTTTTAAGTGTCTCTCTTTATATTGTAGCATGTACACCGCTTCAGAAAATGACAGGTTAACTCCATCTCCCACGGATTCTCCTAGATCCCATCAGATTGTCCCTGGAGGTCGGTACGGCGTTCAAAACTTCTTCCCGGAGCCCTTTGTCAACACCTTACCTCAAGCCCGATATTATAATGGTGAGAGAACCGTGCCACAGACCAACGGCCTCCTTTCGCCCCAACAGAGCGAAGAGGTGACCAACCCTCCCCAGCGGTGGCTTGTCACGCCTGTCCAGCAACCTGTGACCAACAAGCTAGACATCAGTTCCTATGAATCTGAATACACTTCCAGTACCTTGCTCCCGTATGGTATTAAGTCCTTGCCCCTCCAGACATCTCATGCCCTGGGGTATTACCCTGACCCAACCTTCCCTGCAATGGCAGGGTGGGGGGGCCGAGGCGCTTATCAGAGGAAGATGGCAGCTGGCCTACCATGGACATCCAGAATGAGCCCCCCTGTGTTCCCAGAAGACCAGCTTGCCAAGGAAAAAGTCAAAGAAGAAATTAGCTCCTCCTGGATAGAAACCCCCCCTTCCATCAAGTCTCTAGACTCCAACGATTCGGGGGTGTACAGCAGCGCTTGCAAGAGAAAGCGCTTGTCCCCTAGCACCTCCAGCAATGGAAACTCGCCCCCTGTCAAGTGTGAGGACGTGAACCCTGAAGAGTACAGTAAAGACGCCTCGAAAGGCATGGGGGCATATTACGCTTTCTACACAACTCCCTGAAGAGCTGTTTTAACCCCCAGTGTTTTCCAGGTGGACCTGGTGGTGTTCCTGTTGTCGTTTTCTTTACCTAGGTGACCAAAAAGACTTTTCCCCTCCACCTTTGCTGTCTCCTGTTTTGTGCAGTTCTCTGAGAGAAGGTGCCAAAGCTTTGCCGTAGCTGCAGGTAACGAACTGAAGCAAACCTAGCATTTTTTTTTTTTACCCTTTGTAAAATAAAATTAACAGAGGACTCGGAAGTGTTTTAAAATTCAGAGGTTGTTCAAAGTGCTGGATTTATTTATGGGAAACAAACATTCAATGAGTGCCAGATGCTATCCAGTGAGTTTCAAAAGCAAAAAGCAAGCAAAAGTCTTTAGCTCTCATTTCTACTTGTAAATCTTTAAGCAAACAGCAGCCTAGAGTGTTAAGGTATTTTTGCTTCAGGAAAAGAAGGGCTGGGCCTTGAGTTTCAAAAGTGGGCTCTTCATGGCTATCTTCTGCCAGTGGCTGAAGAGTCTGGGCTTGAGAGTCAAGGAAGGAAAAACTAATGGGAAAGTGGCTAGGTAGTCTTGGCTGCCTGTAGTTCCTTACGGGATTTTGGGATAAACCATTTGCCATAGGGATGGATGGCCCTGTGTTGCTGGATGAAACCAGGGGGATCAGAGAGAAAGGGAGAATTTAAGTGTACAGTTGTGTGTTTAGACACCGTAGAGTACTCTGGAATATATTGTACAAATTCAGCTGCCTAGGTATCAGAGATAAACTAATGTAAACTTGGTGCCTAGGCTTTGTAAAGAATTTGCAGGGTTGAGCGGAGCCTCAGTAGCTTGGCTATTCCGTCCACTTAGTTATGTACTTACTCAGCTGCCTCTGTATTCACTTCAACCACACTTAAGAAAAAAAAAAAACCTGTTTAATCCTTTCCTTGGTCATCCCTACTTTGCCCTTCAGTAAATGTGAAGAAATTGCAGTCTGATGCCACAGTTCCTATAGGCTTTTTAGAGACTCTGAATTTTTATGTACAGTTGTAAGTCATTTTTAATAAATGTGGTTCAATGAGGGAACGGATACAGCTGTCTTCTGTGCTATGGATTTTATGTATCTAATTTTATTTCCTTCTGCCCTTTTTCAGAGTGAACAGTCTCTTACACATTACACACATACACACACCAAACTGGTATCTTTTAACTAGGTACTGTGGTCCTGAGGAGTGGGCAGGGGGTGCTTCTTTTTAATCCCCCACCCCCACTCCAAAGATGAATTGGATCTACTTCCTTGCCCCACTAGGAAGTGTGGACAATGGGTGTTGGCTGGGGAGGGGGTGGGTTGAGGAGGGAGTGTTTGCCCTGGAGACGTAAGATTGCACTCTGCAGGTTTAATTCTAGCTCCCCACCCTCCGCCCCTGACCTTAGTCATTTAGTTCTTTTCCTTGGTTTACTTTAGGCTACCGGTTCCTAGACCCACTTAAGCTCCCTGGGAACCCCCGCGGCCATTCGAGCGCCTACGAGTTCCGGGTCTTTAAGCACCGCAGGGCGCAATGTTCGCTAACCCCAAGCCTTGCGCCCATCTGCGGTTTTCCGCGGTTGGTGCAGCTGTTGTCCTCGGTTGCCTTACCCTCAGCTAAATTTCATCCTCGACTCAGGGCTTGTACGCAGGCTAGCACTGGGTGCGGCGATCACAGAGTGTTCCACTTGTCTCGTACACTGCGGTTCTGCAAACAGCATCTGGACAGCGGCGCATCTCCTTGCTCGAAGCCCCGCTTTAGTTACTAACTGCGGGTGACGAAGCTCCCCCTACCCCCAGGCCCTGGCTGAACCCTAGACGTGCGGCAGACCAGGCCGTTAGGAAAAGAGGGCCCTCCCCGCCCCCTGCCAGACGTCCCACCGGGTTATCTGCAGACGGCTTAAAACCCAGCTTGCAAACCCTTGGAACCCCCTTCTCACCCTGGGGTAAAGGTCTGGCTGGGAGGGTCATTCTAACTGCAGAGCGCGGAAATGCAGCTGCTAAGAGGATTAGCTGTGGGGAGGCAAGCAATCAGTCGGACCCTCCTCCCCTTCTGCGCCCAATTAAGGCGGCAAGAAGATGTACCTGAACTGTGGGTCTCTCAAGTCCTCCGAACTTCTGGGGTCAGAGTCCTCCCTGCACCGCCATGAACTTGGGGACCTGCTAGCTCCTCATTCCCAAGATTGCCTGCTCAAGACTCTTTATCAAAGCCGCTCCGACTGTTACCGGAGTGTCAGGTGTGTGTATGTGCGTACTTTCTGGAGAATTTTTTTAAATGTATGTCTGTGGGCAGCAGAATTGAGAGAGAGAGAGAGAGAGAGAGAGAGAGAGAGAGAGAGAGAGAAGAGAGAAGAGAGAAGAGAGAAGCATAGTTGGCCTAACCTACTCAGAACCAACGTCCAACGGTTGGGTATCCGGAATATCAAACGATGCTCTGCCGTTTCTGTCCTCTAGAAAAACCCGAAAATGCTAATCACACGCCGGGATAAAGAGACCTCTGGCCTAGTCTATTTCAAGTCTTGTATATTTTTGCACCGTACAGTAAAAAGAATCTAGTACTTGTGAAAAGTCCCTCACAGTGTTTAATAGAAACGTAAATGGCTGAGTGGCCCCAATTAACACCTTGTGATAAGGCATTCCTAAGATGGAGTGTCAGACACCAAATTGTGAAGAGATGTATCTAATTAATCCTCCTAGGATGACACCGATAAACAAGACTCCATTTAAATAAAGATCAAGGGCTGGGAGCCGGGTCGGCGTGTTTACCTTCCCAACCCGGGCCCTGCGCACCTTTGCGCCGGCGCAGGCCGCTCCCCCTCGCAAGGCGGAGACACAGGCGTAGGGGGTCTGCTGACTCGCCCAAGTTCGCTTGACCTCAGCTCTTGCCACAAACAAAACCGCTTAAACAAACTACGACGAGAGAGGAAAAATCGTCACAAAAGCAAAAAACGATTCGTGGTTGGAAATACCTCTTCATCGCCAAACAGTCTGGTTTTTGAGATAAAAAAGCAAGCCAACAATCCCCGTATTAATTAATTTTTTGCTTTGGAGGAAATTTGGAACCCGTCCTGCTGCGGGTTCCTTCTCAGTGGGTGCAGTTTTTCTCTGCTGTGGTGCGAAAGCCAAGAATTGCTGGGATGGGCGTGGGGGGGGTAGCTACCCTGAGCGTGGTAGGGAACTTCCGATACCTGGAAGGAAAACTGGGAAAGGCGGCAAAAAAAGCCTAAAAGAATGTAAGGGCCGAGGAGAAAGCTGCTCCTTAGTTGGTCTTCGTCTTGACTGGTGTTAAGGCTGCGGTTGAAGCCGGGTTACTGCTGTAATTTATGCCCCAACCTCAAGGGATGCTGAGGCCCCGAATTTCCTGTTCGTCCCACCCAGTTTCCCTCCTTTCTAATTAAGCTTAAAGCCCAAATAAAGAAGGCAGGCTCTTGGGCTTTCTCGAATTGGGGTGGGGGTGGGGTTTGAAAGAAGCGATCAGAGAGAGAGAGAAGAGATGGGGTTGTGGGGGAATGAGTCCCTGCACGTGTCATGGAAATGCTGGCGAATGAAAACATTCCCGATATTCTGCCACCGGTAGGGACAAGAAAGCCCTGGCATTTTACGCGTTTGCACGTTTCTTCCTTCTGCTCCCCGGGACGTGTTACCGACTGACTGTCCTCCGCTCCGCTGCGCCGGATTTCAAAAATTCCGCTTTCACCCGGTAAAAATATTTGAACAACCAGGGGACTTTTAAAATAGCAATTTAAAGAGGAGGAGGGGAGGAGGGAGAGAAGAAGGGAAAGGAAGAAAGAAGAAGAAGAAGAAGAAGAAGAAGAAGAAGAAGAAGAAGAAGAAGAAGAAGAAGAAGAAGAAGAAGAAGAAAGAAAAAAAGAAAGAAAGAAAGAAAGAAAGAAAGAAAAGAAAAGAAAGAAATCCAACCTGTGTTGTTTGCATCCTAAGGAACCCCTCCGTAACCCCAAGCCCACCCACACCCACACCCCGAGGCCTCAAGTTTGGATTTTCAGACAAATTCGGCAGGTCAGCCTTGGGAGGATTCCAAGTCAAGAGACCGTTCCACCTGCTGCTGTCTGTTCGGGTAGCCGGATCCCTTCCCGCCTGCGCAGAGGCCTGCACCGCGCGCTCCGGGCTTGCACCTCGGCTCGCCTAAGCGAACCCTGGGTGGGCTTCATTTCCCCACCGCTGAAGCTGGGGCGATTCCGGTCGGCAAGTGTGAAGTGGCGGGAACAGTCTCTTCGCTTTGCTTTCACCTTTTCTTTCTTTCATTTTTTCCCCCGTATTTCTATCTTTCTTTTTTATTTTATCTTATTTTATTTTGGGGTCTTGTTTTTTTGTGTGTGTGTGTGTGTTTGAGACAGGGCCTCAAGCAGCCCAGGTGCTTTTAACTCAGCTGTGTAGCTGAGGATGACTTTGAACTCCTGATCGTCCTGCTTCTCCTGTCTCTCAGGTTTTAAGACAGGGTCTCACACTAGAACACCGGCTGGCCTCAAACTCAGGGTAATCCTCCTGCCTCACTTCCCGAATACTGGTGAGCCACAGGGCTGAGCAATCTGGCGGGACACAACCCTTCGTCCTGGTCATCCTATGCATAGAGCACGCGCATGCAGCCTGCAAAGGGAAGGAGTTCTCCCCCATAGTGTCCCGCGTCAGATGGAGTTCTGCCGCGGTGTCCGCCCAGATCGCTCCTTATTTTAGGCAGCACCCTCACCTCTACGCCTTTCAAACACTAAAAACGTGCGTTTACAAAGCCGGGTGTCCGGGTGTGGCTGACTTTGCCAAGAGCGCGGCCTGGGCTGCTCTGCTTCCAGCCGCGGGTGCCCTCCGCCATCTGGTGGCCGTCGCGAGTAACGCTCTCCCCGTGGAACATGACTTCTTGCTGCTGGCCCAAGTCTGAGTCTGCTTCTCTCTGTGTATTTATGTCGTTATGCAGTACGAGTGTAAGGTGTCTTTGTTCATCTCCACCTTACAGAAGCTTCTTGGTGTAGAAGGAGCCCAGGACTTAGACTCTAAGACCAACTTTCCTGGCTGCACTATCCGTTCCCTCACCTACAGCCCCAAGTGAGGACAAAAAAAAAAAAAAAAAAAAAAAAAGAGATTATAAAACTAACGTTTTATAGAATGGTATTGTTAAATATTAGCTTTTTGGGATTTGTTTGTTTGTTTGTTTGTTGTTATGATTTTTCGAGACAGGGTTTCTTGTGTAGTCCTGGCTGTCCTGGAACTCATCTGTAGACCAGGCTGGCCTTGAACTCAGTGATTGCCCCTGCCTCTGCTTCCCGAATGCTGGGATTAAAGGCCAGGATTCATGCCCGGCTTTAATGACTAGTTTTATTTATAGCAGAAGTCATTACTGCAGGTTAACTGTAACGGGTCTCACTGTGACATCATATTCTAGGCTTTGGTCATACCCACGCTCCACCCGCACTTCCGTCCTCTCTCCTGCTCACACACAGTCTTTCCCAAAGAGCCCCTGGCCTATCTTCAAGTCATTTTGCTTTGTTTTGTTTTGTTTTTTTTTTTCCCCCTAGCTTTTGCATGTGAGAAAAACAAAAGAACATGTTCCGTTTTTCTTTCTGTATCTGGTTTATTTTCCTTCTTACAGGGACCTCTAGGCCCACCACTTTCCTGTAAAGGGCATGCTTCCTTCTTCATGACTGAACAGTTCCTCACCGTGTGAACACACCTGTCCAGGGGCACCCAGGCTGACCCCAGGACGCCACCGTGAAGAGAGCAACCACAAATGGAGATAGACAGGTATCTCTATTTTGAAAGAACAGATTTTTTTTTTTTTTTTGGTTTTTCGAGACAGGGTTTCTCTGTGGCTTTGGAGCCTGTCCTGGCACTAGCTCTGTAGACCAGGCTGGTCTCGAACTCACAGAGATCCGCCTGCCTCTGCCTCCTGAGTGCTGGGATTAAAGGCGTGTGCCACCATCGCCCGGCCAGATTGTTTTTATTTTTGTGTTTATATGTTTGCCTACATATACATACATGTACTATGCGTGCCCATTGCCCACAGAGGCCAGAAGATGGTGTCAGATCCCTGGGAGCTGGAAT